AAATGCAAGGGCCGGAAGATTCCCGTGGCGCCCAGGCCGCTTAGGACAGGGATGTAACCCTTCTGCCACACCTGCCGGACGTCTTCCTGATGCTTCCCAAAGACCATGGACATATCAGAGATATCTTTGGACGCATGGGTTTTGACGATCGTGAGATGGTCGCCCTCAGCGGCGCTCACTCCCTTGGTCGTGCCCATCCTGACCGGTCTGGTTATGACGGTCCTTGGGACTTCAGTCCGACTGTCTTCACCAACGAATTCTTCAGATTGCTGGTTGAGGAGAAATGGAACTGGAAGAAGGTAATCAAAAATGCAAATATATATTCGGTCAAATAGCTGTTCGATTCATGAACTGACTAAACCAAAATTCCAGTGGAGCGGTCCTGCCCAATACACCGACAATACCACTAAAACTCTGATGATGCTTCCTACCGATATGGCTCTTGTAAAAGACAAGGAGTTCAAGAAGCACGTCGAACGATATGCCAAGGACAGCGACGCATTCTTCAGGGAATTCTCGGATGCGTTCGTCAAGCTCCTCGAGCTTGGCGTTCCCTTCACCTCCAAGGCTGAAGATCGCATACGATTCAAGTCTTCCCACGACTGAATTCGCCGCTTTGTGACTTCTGTAACAGCGAAGCGAAACAGTTTTTCCTCTTGATCGATCCTTTTCTACTCCTTGGTAAATCTAATCAGTTTTTTGTGGCACATCTCTGTCGATATCTTTTTATGATTTTTTAAATTCACTTTTTTTTTTGTTGGTAGTATTTCGCCAAGTTCTGTTCCATTCAGTTTTAGATTACAAAATTCTCTCTACTCCTGTTCACCTCTGTTTCGAGGATCCTCCTCGTTCCACCTTTGTACGATACCTGTCGTCTTCTAGCGTCATTCTTGAGCAGGAAAAATATTTGGAGAGGGACCGAACAAGTGGAAGTGCGCAGAATGCGCCAAGGTTGATGGTTGGTGCTTGATATATTTGATCCTATATTCAACAAAATCAAGATGTAAACAATTAAAACCCTATCAGGTATTATTCTGCAAAGAGTATTTTATTCGATTCAAGTAATACCACCCAACCATAAAGCGAAAATAATAAAAGAAAACAGGAAGTTGCCAGCATCTCCAGTCCACGTTGAACAACCTGTGTCATGTTGGGGCAAATAACATCTGTGCCAGAAAAAGATATTATTTATCCATCCATTTATCGTTCACCCGGCACACCCAACCTACCATCCACCGGCCTTCCACCCGTTACG